CTCGGACGCCGGGCATCTTCCTCCTGCTTAATGAGGACTTGACTCGGCAGCGACCGTGAATCATCGCCGGGGCTGGGGAAGGAGGAAGGCGGATGTCACCCCCTCCCACCCGCTCCATGCCCGTGTGTCACTCGGCGGGGTCCACCTGGCGCGGCCGCTCCTGAGGCTGCGGCTGCACTTGACCACGACGGCGACGACGGCGACGGGGCTGCCGCTGCCCTCCCGCGACTCTCCTGCTCCTCCTGCTCCGGCCGGACCCGGCGCCTGGGGACTGTCCCCTCGCTCGTGCGCACCTCGGCCCCGCGCCGCCACTGGCCTTCCAGAACAACTTGGGTGTTTGGGGGAGAAGCCCAGCACGGACGCCTGGCCCTCGGGAAGGTTTCCCTTCGGAGCGTGACGATTTCTGCCTCTGTGGGGTTTTTTAAAATTTTTGTTGTTTTGTGGGGTTTTTTTGGACGTGGACATCGGAGTCTCCACCAAACGGCAAGATGTCCAGCAGTGTCCCGGCGGATATGGTAAGAGACGAGACGCGCTGGCAGGCTTGAATTCGGCGTTTTCCAATCCCGTGCTGATGGGGTGCAGGTTTGCGGGGTAGAAGTGGAGGGGACGGTGGGGGAGCCGCCGGGCGGGGGGAGATTTGGAGAAGTGGGCGCTTCTGGTTTCCCTCTTTCCGAAAAGTACCGCTTTTGTATGTGTGCATGTAAGCGTGTGTGTGTGTGAGTGTGTTCTGTTTTTGTTGTTTTGAAAGCAGGTCGTTCACACTTGGCCGGGGTTTGGGTGTCCTCGGGCCGAGGCCGGGGAGGAGTGGGGGGACATCGGGGCCGGGGAGCTCCGAGCGGAGCCCTAGAAGATCTCAATGCCTGGGAAACAAACGTCCGTGACACGGGGTGCGCCCCGGAGCCCCCGACGCAGAGGGGGAGGGGAGCGGGGACGCCCGGTGCCGGGACCTATTGTCCAGAACAGGGTGGCCCTTTAAGAAGAAGTCCACTTGGACTGCGTACGACGGTGGGGTGCCTTTGGATCGATCGCTGGGCGAGCCAGGGCGGCCCGGGAAGCAGTACGACGGGGTGGAGGTTTCAGGGATGGAGACGGCCCTCCCGTTTGGTCTTTTTCGCCAATATCAGGACTTTTCCGGCTAGGCGTGCGACTTTTCATGCGCAGTTAGCGCGTCTCTGTGGGCGCCTGGCTGGACGCGAAACAGACCCCTTGTTTGTGGCCTCTTATTTGCTGGTGGAGGTGCAGGTGGCGGCTGACCGTGAACGTGTGAAACGACCCCCAGTTGCCGCCGCGAGGACCAACAGAATGTGCTCAGCAGGAAGACGAATTAATCGCGTGCGGGCAGGAGTTG